GGCGGATGATATTGATAAATCACGCTATATTAATATGATATGTGATAAGTTAAGTAAGTTTATTTACCATCCTGGCTCTCTGCTCATGCGTGGGCAATCGTGATTACAGTTTTATGTATATTTGACAAGGTACAGTATTCTGTGATTACTGCAATTGTACATGGTAAACTATAAATATAAATCATACATCATACAAAAAAATAGCATTGATATGCTTTTTTCACTGTGTTTACATAACACTGTTTTTTGTTTACGCCAATTTTACTTAGTTTTTTTTACCTTTGCCTTTACCTTCCCGCGGAGGCTGCGGCGGTTACTTGACATAGCGCCTCTCCTAACAACCGTCATTATAAAGGCTATTTTCAGTTCTCGGGATATTAAATATTTTTCTCGGATATTAGATATCATATCTACGCCATCGATACCAGATTTATTAGTAAAGCAGTTCTGAAGAGTTACCAAAATAACATTATCATAGACTGTTATAACAAGAACAGCAAGAGTAAACACACCGAAACAACAGCATATATAAAAGAGAAATTGATAATTAAATTCCTCTTCTTCCCCCTCTCCCTCCACCCACGCCGCCCACCAGCCTACACGCCCCAGGACATCGTGGGCGGAATCTCGAAAGACGAAATTTTGCTACCTGAACTCCTGGCTCCTCAGGGCTACACCAGCGCCCTTGTGGGGAAATGGTAGGTTGTTTTTTATTTATTAATTTATTTTACTGTTCCATTCATTAGCGTAATTATTTTATCGGTATTTGATAGATTGGATTTATGTGTTAGTGTGTGGGTGTGGGTGTGCGCGCGCGCGCGCGAGTGCTTGCGTGTGTGCATGGCCATGCGGGTGGTAATTATTATTAAAGAAAACATCTGTCAAATATTTATTGTGCTCTTGATGTAACGAACTAAAACAGCAGTAGTGGTAGTAGTAATTGTAGTAGTTATAGTAGTAGTAGTAGTAGTAGTTGTAGTAATTTTAGTAGTAATTTTGTTTTCATTATTAATCCTCACAATCACAGCCATATTACCCCATTATCACCATCACACCATATCTACCCCCACTATCTCTCCCAGGCACTTAGGCCATCGTTCCCCCTACCTGCCTCTCGAACGCGGCTTCAACTCGTGGTTCGGGTCGCCAAATTGCCATTTCGGCCCATATGACGACAAGACCACGCCCAATATACCTGTGTTTCGAGATGCGAAGATGGTTGGGAGGCAAGTACTGGTGTTTGTTGGTGCTGTTGGTGGTAGGTTTTTATTGTTTTGTTGTTGTTATTGTGGTAGGGTTTTTATTGTTTTGTTGTTGTTATTGTTGTTATTATTATCATTACTATTATAATTATTGTTATCATCTTCGTCATCATCATTATGGTTTTATCATCATTATCATTATCAATATTGTCATAATCATCATTGTTAATATGTGAAATATTATTGTCATTATTATTATTATTGTTTTGTTATTATTATAATTATTATTATTGCTATTATTTTATTATCATCATCTTTATTACTATCATCATCACCATCACCATATTATTTTTCATCACTATTACTATCACCATTACCATTACCATTCTCAACAGATATTACGAGCAGTTCGTCATCAACCGAACCACCGGCGAATCGAACATGACGAAACTCTACACCCAAGAAGCCGTTAAATTTATCGAACAAGAGGCAGGAAAAGGACCGTTTTTCCTGTACTGGGCTCCGGACGCCACGCATGCGCCGACCTACGCCTCGAAGGATTTTCTTGGGACGAGTAGAAGAGGTGGGATGTTGGTGTTGTTGTTTTTTGTTGTTGGTGGTGGTGGTGTTAATGTTATTATTATAATTATTTTTTTTTTATTTATATGTCTTCCTCTTCCTTATATTTCCTCCTCTTCTTTTCTCGTTTCTCTTGTGTCCTCTTTTAGTTTTTCTTTAACTAAAGGAGAATAGAGTAAGAAGAACCAATGATTATATAAAAAGAAAAAAAGAAAGAATAGAGAAAAATAGAGACTAATAATATAATAAATTTTATAGTCTATCATAAACTACATCTAAATAAACTTTTCTTTTATTTCTTCTTTTGCATTCAACTATATTTAAACTATATTTAGATTATACTTTTTTTCTTTAAACTGCTTTTTTCATCTTTCTTTTTACATTCAACTTCCTTTATAAACTCCTTCCTTAAACTACCGGATAAACAACGCTTAAATAAACTACCTTTTTTCCTTTTTCTTTTACATTCCAGGTCGCTACGGAGACGCGGTGAGGGAGCTCGACGCGGGCGTGGGAGCGATAGTGGGCGCGCTCAAGAAAATGGGCGTCGCTGAGAACACGCTGGTGGTCTTCTCGTCCGACAACGGGGCGGCACTCGTTAGCAAGAGAGAGGGTGAGGGAGAGAGAGAGAGAGAGAGAGACGGGGAGAGGGAGAGAGAGAGAGAGAAGAGGGGATGGGGAGAGAGAGAGAGAAGGGGGAGGATAAAGGGGAGGGGGAGAGGGAGGAAAAAGGAGGGATAGGGAAGAGAGGGAGGAAAGAGAGAGTGGAGAGGGAGGAGTAGTGGGGAGGGAAGGAGAAGAGAGGGAGGGAGAGGAAGGGAAGGGGGGCGGGGAGAGGGAAGATAGAGAGGAGAAGGAAAGAGAGAGAGATTCTATTGTTGTTAGAGTGTTTTTTATACACCATTTGCTAATAATCATATTTTTTGCAATATACATACGACTGAAAACAATAGAAAAATAGTAGTTTCTCAGAAAGAATATAGTTAAATACATTTTAAGTTCCAGCAATCAGAGTATAGCGATAATTAACTAAGAGTGCGGCCATAGCATTAGTAGTATTAAAAACCGTATTTGTTTATCTAGTAGAAGTAGTAAGGATAAAAATGTTGATGTTGATATTTATTATAATGATAGTGATGATAATAATAACATCATTTGTAATGATGATGATGGTGATGATGAGGTGACACGACAAAGTAAAATTAGAAGATGGAAGAGTAATAATGTTGATAATAGTGATAGTATTGATAATAAGCATGAAGATGATGATGATGGTGAAGATGATGATGATGATAATGATGGTGAAGATGATAATGATGAAGATGGTGATGATAATGATGAAGATGATGATAATGATGGTGATGATGATAACAAATAAATATGTTATGTTACAGGAGGCAGCAACGGCCCTTTTCTCTGCGGCAAACAAACCACTTTCGAAGGTGGAATGAGAACACCAGGTATATTTTGGTGGCCAGGAGTCATACCAGCTGGTACCGTCACACACCAGGTAAGTTATTAAGTTGACTGATTGTTGATATAAATGGTTCGAGGTTAAGTCTGTGTGTAATTTTGTTTACGAGTTGAAATTACTTCTTTTTTTTCTTTAGTTATTGATTGAAATTCCTATTTTCATTGTGTCTTTCCTTGTGTATTCTTTCCTGTTCTCTTTATTTATCTCTTTATTAACATCCATTTTTTGTTTATTATAGATCTATTACTTTCTCTTTCTCTCGTATCCGTTTTTTTCAGTCTCTCTCTCTCTCTCTCTCTCTCTCTCTCTCTCTCTCTCTCTCTCTCTCTCTCTCTCTCTCTCTCTCTCTCTCTCTCTCTCTCTCTCTCTCTCATTAATTCCTTTCCTATCCCCAAACCCTAATTTTATTCTCTAGCCCTTTTCTTCCTGTCTTTATTGGTCATATTCTTTTTCTTTTTTCGACCAATCCCTCTTTTTAGCTTTCTATTTCTATCCTTTATTCTACCTTTATTATAGTATTTTTTATTCTTCCTGTTTCTCTCTTTCCCTTTCTACTTCATCCCTTTATCCTTTTCTATATTCCAACTTTAATTTCGCTCATTATCTCATCTCCTCCTTTCTTTATTTGTATTATTAACATTCTTCTGTTTTCTTATTTTGTTCCTTTATTCAGTTCCTTCCTTCCCCTTTTATGCGTTATCTCCCTGTATGGACACACCGACTTTCTCTCTCTCTCTTTCTTTCTTTCTTTCTTTCTTTCTTTCTTTCTTTCTCTCTTTCTTCCCCCATCTCTCTCTCTTTTTCCATTTCTTCTTCTCTCGTTATTCCGTCCATTCTATTTTGTTAGTTTATCCCATCCTCATTCTCCCCTTTTATTCATTATCTCTCTTCCCCTTCTTAATGAACAGGCAAGAACGAAGTACCTCTAATCCATTTTCCCTCTTCCCTTTTTATTTCGTTTTCTTTCTTATTCCATCCCTCTTCTATTCACTCTCTCTCTATCCCCTTTTCGTAAACTCTTATGAGCGACTTTCGAACGAGCAAGAGCAAGTAGTCTTTAATTCACTTATCCTTCTTCTTTTAATTTCTTATTGTATCCCTCCCTTCTTTTATTCCCTTCTTTTATTCAGCCTCTCTCTATCTCCCTTTCACAACAGATCTCGATATAATTGAAACCAAACCAACAAGAACAACTAGCCTTTAATCTATCTCTCCTTTCCCCTCATTTCCCCTTTCTTTCGTATTCCATCCCTCCTTCCCTCCTCCCTTTTATTCACCCTCTCTCTATCCCCTTTCCCCCATCAGGTCTGGACGCAAATGGACCTGTTCTCCACGGCGATCGAACTGGCTGGAGGAACGATACCTGAAGACCGCAAGATAGATGGTCTTCCTCTCGCTCGCGCACTTCAGCATCCGGAACTGGAGATTGCAAGGTAGGAGAGAGGGAGAGAGGACGAAGGAGAGGGAGAAAGAGAAGGAAAGAGAAAGGAAGAGGGAGAGAGGGAGAGGGGGAGAGGGTGAAGGAGATGGAGAGAGAAAGGGAGAGGGGGAGGGAAAGGAAGATGTAGAGGGAGAGGGAGAGAGGAAGAGGGAGAGGGAGAGAGAAAGAAAGAGTGAGAGGGAAAGGAAAATGGAGAGGGGGAGGGAGAAGGAGAGGGAGAGGGAGAGAGAAAGAAGGAGAGGGAGAGGGAAAGGAAGATGGAGAGGGGGAGGGAGAGCGAAATCGCAAGAGATACAGGATAAAGGAATAGTGAGGGAGGGAAAAGAGGGATAGGAAGAGGAAGAGAGAGAAGGAAAGAGAAAGGGAGAGTTAAGGAGGGAGGAAGGGAGAGAGAGACTCGGAAGAAAGAAAGGATAGAGAGAAAGTGAGGGAGGGAGAGAGAGGGAAAGAGAGAGATGTGACTAGATAATATAAGAAATGAAAAAAGAAGCATAATGATTTAGATTGAAGACAATAGGATAATAAAGAAAAAATAAGGAAATAATGCAGTGAGAATGTAGCAAGTGATAAGAGAAAAAAAAACGAAAAAACATGACATGACAAGGAAAGGGATACAGTTAGAAGCTAAAAAATCACGAAAAAAAGATAATAGGACATGAAAGGGCAAGAAACGAGAAGGAAAAGAGACAATGCTTGTTTTTATATATTTGTTATTAATTGTGTATATTTTTTTTTTTTTTTTTTTTTTTGTGTGTGTGTGTGTGTGTGTTGTGTGTGTGTGTGTGTTGTGTGTGTGTGTGTGTGTGTGTGTGTAGTAGTAGTAGTAGTAGTAGTAGTTAAGATTACGAAAGTTTCAAACATATATATAAAGTGTTGTAGTGTTAAATTTGTGAATCATTTAGACGTTGATTGTTCTGAAACCACTTTGTAGTAATATTGTGGGAAATGATAGCGTTATTGACGTTTGAATGTTGATTATTAGGTTGTGTGAACACTTAATGATTCGTGTTATCCAAAATCAAATTTTTCAAGTGAAAATAATATTGTATATCACGATTTTTCCCATAGTAAATAAGATTCTACGTTTAGACATTTTGGCAGGAAATTCAGAAATAGTGTATAATGGGATTTTGTAGAGTATCCCCTCGATAGAGTATAACCCGTTTTTTGAAAGAACATTGTAATAGAAAACCAGTCCGCTTTTAAGATATTCTTTTATAATTTTTACCATAAAAAAATCGAGATATATCAGTGTCGACATCGCTTTATGTTTTTTGTTTTGTTTTGTTTCTTGTTTTTTTTATAAATTTCGTTTTGAATGTTTAGATTTTTGTCTATATTCACCTATTCTTATTCTCTCTCAATCTATCTACTTATGTCAATCTATGCCTAAGTTCTCTATCTCTATCTCTATCTCTATCTCTTATCTTCTTTCTTGTTTTTTTTTTCCTATTTTCTATTATTTCCCTTTCACGTGTTCTTTTCTTTTCTCCATCATTCCAGACCCGTCTTCTTCTACCGCGGCGACCGCCTGATGGCCGTCCGTCTTGGAGGCTACAAGCTTCACGTCTGGACTTGGAGCACGCCCACCTACGAGCTCCAGAAAGTACGTAAGATAGTGTATACATTGTTGTATAAATAAGTAGTGTATAAGTTCTTTATTGTATACATTTTTGTGATTTGTTATTTTAGTTTTTTTATTCTCGTTCGGCCTCTCTCGGCTTCCTTTTTTGAGTTGGCGCAGGCTGTCTCTGTTTCTTTATCTATTTCGCTTTTTCTTTGTCTTTGTCTTTCTCTTTCTCTTTCTCTCTCTCCCTCTCCTTCTCCCTCTCCCTCTCCCTCTCCCTCTCCTTCTCTCTCTCTCTCTCTCTTTCTCTCTCTCTCTCTCTCTCTCTCTCTCTCTCTCTCTCTCTCTCTCTCTCTCTCTCTCTCTCTCTCTCTCTCTCTCTCTCTCTAGCTGACTCATCTGACTGCCATACCTGAATGCATTTCGTATTACCCGAATTGCCTCTAGATATTTCCTTCTGTGAATTCTGACCATCCCGGCGGCAGTGGTCGGCGGTCCCGGTTCGCGACGGTGCTCATTACAGTCAACGCTCGCTGTGTTTTTATATGTGTGTGCGTGTGTGTGTATGTGTGTGTGTGTGTGTGTGAGTGTGTGTGTGTGTGTGTGTGTGTGTGTGTGTGTGTGTGTGTGTGTGTGTGTGTGTCTGTGTGTGTGTGTATGTGTGTATGTAGCCATTATTACAGGACATGCCATAACTGCCCTGAAATCAACAAGTATATCACGTTTTTTTCTCTTTAAAAGACTAAGGCGAGGTCTCATAATAATACCAATGCCTTTAGTGAGTCATGGTCCAGACGCCCTCATGGACACAGGGTTACCCCCTCCCCCCTCTCTCTCTTAAACGGGCTCCTTTTTATGAGTTAAAAATGGTCAGCTGATCCGCAAAGTATGTCATGTTTTCGTTACTACTGATTGTGGTTGTTTTCGTTCCCTTTCCTTGGGAGAAGATGTGCATTTAACGATCGCTAAATGTGTTATTATTTTGTATAATTAATCTAGTTCTTATTCTTCTTTTTTTTTTGGGGGGGGGAGAGAATATTTCTTAAGGTTAGATTTTAAGGCTTTATTCTAGCTCTTTCTCCTCTTCTCTGTCTTTCCTCTTATTATTTTGTCTCCCTTTCCCTCTTTTAATTGTTTCTCCCCTTTGTTTCTTTGCCCCATTTTAACACTTTCATACCTGATCTCTCTTTCTCCATTGTCTCTCCTCTTCCTTCTCTTCCTTTTACATTTTTCTCCC